AGAAAGAAAGAAAGAAAGAAAGAAAGAAAGAAAGAAAGAAAGAAAGAAAGAAAGAAAGAAAGAAAGAAAGAAAGAAAGAAAGAAAGAAAGAAAGAAAGAAAGAAAGAAAGAAAGAAAGAAAGAAAGAAAGAAAGAAAGAAAGAAAGGAAGGAAGGAAGGAAGGAAGGAAGGAAGGAAGGAAGGAAGGAAGAAAGAAAGAAAGAAAGAAAGAAAGAAAGAAAGAAAGAAAGAAAGAAAGATTTTAGGCGACTCTTAAAGACTGGCAGAGATGGGGACAGCCTAACTGAAGGTGGCAACTGATTCCAGAGTGTTGGTGCTAGGACTGAGAAAGCCTGGTCCCCGCGAGTACGACACCTAGAACGAGGGACAGCGAGCTGGCCTTGGTCAGAGGAGCGCAGAGCGCGTGATGGGGAATGTCTGTTCAGGAGTGTGGCTAGATAGGGGGGAGCATTACTCTGGAAGAAATTGTAGACAAAGACGAGGAGTTTAAAGTGTGAACGATAACAAACCGGAAGCCAGTGCAGGGAGGCCAGAACCGGACTGATGTGGTCCCGTTTCCTGGTCCCAGTCAGGAACCTGGCTGCGCTGTTCTGCACAACCTGTAGGCGACGCAGTGATGACTGACACAACCCTGCATAGAGAGAGTTGCAGTAATCAAGCCTAGAAATAACAAAGGCATGCAGTACCCGCTCCAGGTGGGCTCTCGACAGCATATGCTTGATTTTTGCAAGGCGTCTGAGGTGAAAGAAACTGGACCGGATCACAGAGTTGATGTGAGCATCAAATTTAAGTCCAGCATCAAGTTTCACCCCCAAACTGGTGACAACTGGTTTTGAGTAGGGAGAAAGAGGGCCAAGATCAACATAACGACCCACATTCTTGGTGTTGGGGTGAAAAACAATGAACTCTGTCTTTCCCTCATTCAGATGCAGATAGTTGGCCATTAGCCAAGACTTCACCTCATTAATACAGGACACAAAGGACTGGATAGAGTGACCTTTCTCCTGACACAATGGAGAGTAAATCTGGCAATCGTCAACATAGAGATGTAATGATAGGCCATGTTTACAAATGATTGACCCCAGAGGAAGCAGATAAATGGTAAACAAAAGAGGACCAAGGATCGATCCCCGCGGGACCCCCCAGCGGAGCCCCTCCCAAGATGAAAAAACATCACCCGTTTAACACAGAATGTCCTGTTGTGGAGATACAATCTAAACCAATCCAGAGCTGACCCTTTGATCCCAACCCATCGTTCCAAGCGATCAAGAAGAATCGCGTGGTCAACTGTGTCGAAGGCTGCTGTCAGGTCTAACAACAGAAGCAGCACAGATGTACCCTGATCTAGTGATAGATAGATATCATTTAAGACCCTCAGTAGAGCTGACTCTGTGCTATGGCCAGACCTGAACCCTGATTGGAAAACCTCAAACAGATCAGAGTCAGCTAAATGTGAGACCAGCTGCTGATAAACGACTTTCTCAAGCAGTTTTGATGTAAAAGGCAGGGTAGGGATAGGCCTGTAATTTTCTATCACAGAGACATCAGCACCAGGTTTCTTCAGGGTCGGCCGAACAACTGCTGCTTTCAAAGCTGCTGGGACAACACCTGTACTGAGGCTCCCATTGATAATCTGACCAAGTGAAGGGCCAAGACACGGAAAGGCAGTCTTCCAGAGACGAGGCGGCAGAACATCAAGTGGAGAGCCAGATGGCTTCTGCCTCGCAACAAGCTTATTCAGCTCGGAGTATGAAACAGTATTGAGGGAGCTCAGTGTGGGTGGTGATGGAGGAACTGGAACAGGGTCAACAGAGTTACCAGAAATGACTGCTCTAATGCCTGATACTTTATGAACAAAGAATCTGTGAAAATCTTCAGTTTCCAGCAGCTGTAGGAGACATAGAGCTAGGCTCCTGATACACCAGAACAGAGTTTAGTGTTTTGTAGAGAATCTTGGGATTCTTGGAGTTTGTTTCGATGATGTCTGCAAAATAGGCCGTTCTGGCAGCCCTCACAGCATCCTGATAAGCAACCAGAGATGCTCTGAACAACTCACGCGAGACCTGTAGGCCATCCTTTTTCCACTTTCTCTCAGAGGCTCTACACGCCCGCCTGCAAGCCCGTGTGACATCAGAGAGCCAAGGCTCCCTCCTAGGTCTAGACTTGCAAAGCTTGAGAGGGGCAACCACGTCCAGGACCTGATTACAAAGTACATCAAAGTGTTGTGAGTAATGATCAATGTTAGATGGATCTGGGTTAAAGGACTCTAACCTTACAGACATACAGTCCACAAACTTTGAAATAGTTTCTGCATCCAGGGCTCTGAACCTAGTAGCTGGAGCTTCACACACAGGGACAGGACATGGCAACGTAACATCACAGAGTATAGGAGAGTGGTCAGAGAACACAGGAGGCAAAGTCTCAAGGTTCATGACGGGTAGACCAGAAGAGAGAACCAGGTCCAGGGTGTGACCCCTGGCATGAGTTGGGGATGATACCCATGAGTTGGGGATGATACCCATTGAGTTAAATTGAACGAATCTAGCAAATTCAAAAAGCCTTTAGCGAGCACATTGTCAGGACAGCAGATATGGATGTTAAAATCACCAAAAAATAGGACATAGTCATATTTTAGGATGCAGTCTGCCACAAGATCACAGAAATCATTAAGGAAGTTAGAGTCAGTCTTTGGAGGGCGATAAATCAGCACAACGAGCAGGCGGGGGGAGATGCACAGTTCAAAGGAAGAAAATGACATGGCGGGTGTAAGCTGTTTACAAGGAAAGCTGGATTTAAAAACAGCAACCAGCCACTACCTCTGCCCCGTGATCTGGGGATATTAAAACAGGAGCAGCCAGGTGGTACCAGCTCCAGCAGGGCTCTTGAGTCACCAAACGGGATCCAGGACTCACAGATGCACAGAAAACTCAAGTCATGCTGAATAAAAAAATCCAGAAGAATAAAAGTTTTGTTCAGCACAGACCTGGCACTGACTAGACCAAACCGGGTCTGCGGCGGGACCGCAGCACCGGAATCACACACAGGCACCGTCTCCTTTAACTCTGAGCCCGTTACCGAGCGTATATTCTCCCATCAAGCACCAGTCTGGCGAGTTTGTCGAGCCGATTGACCGTGGCGCGGTGCCAGCTCACCCTCAGAGCCGGCCAAGTTCACCAGGCAGGGCGCAGAGTAATCCACAAGACATTTTGGAACCACCGAGTCACAAGCTGGGCCGAAACGGACCAGCCGCTTCTTCAGGGATCCAGGAAGTCCAGCCCGACGTCTCACGCGCCGGCTACCTCGCTTTCCCCGTCTTCTCCGATGCTTCCTTCTTGAGCTGGGGCGGACAGAGGGCCGACACATCATGGCTTGGGGGGAGAGAGCACACGGGCAGTCCAGACAGCACTGCCATCCGTGAGGTTCCCAGCGCGCAGCACCCGCTACATCAACGGGAGGACGAAGCCTCAGCAGCGCAGCTCGATCATAAGTCACCAGAGAAGCCACACCATTCAAAAAAGGAATCAGAGACGACAAAAATATATAAAAGCTAATAAAAGCCAATAAAACACGGGGTTCCATGGCATAAAGAGGACGAGCAGCTCGCTGCGTGCACCCGCGCGAGCGCCATCTCAACTCTCAATGAACACTAGACACCCACTCACGCTCCCCTTACACACCCTCTGGTCCCAGTACTGCTGCACAAAGCATACAACAATCATCAGTTCCCAGAGTTAGCCCCTTTCTGCTGGGTTGATGATCAACAGGCACCTCCGCCCAACACCGAGCAAAGCAACCCACCACCCCAGACCCCAACCAGACAGCCAGCTCCCACACCTAGCCTCCAGACCCGGGAAGCCATGCAACAGTACGCTAAAGCTTGGTTTATGCGTGAGGTTAGCACGGCTCCGCGCGGAAAAATTGCTCATTTTAACAACCCCGCTCCTCCACCGCGCCTCCGCACAGCCCAGACTTTCCGCACCGCGCACCTAGAAATTTTCTAACCACGCGGACGGTCGAACGCGGAAAAACATGGCGGACTGGCAAGAACTAGTTATGGCAGAGGTTCGTAAATACAGGCATTTGTATGATTCAGCTCTCAAAGGTCACCGTGACCAACATGTTGTAAATAATTCTTGGAGAGACATAGCTCACACTGTCGGAAAAGACGAGGACGCTGTTAAAAAATGCTGGAAAAACGTGAGGGGCCGATATGTGAAGGCAAGGAAGGGGAACAAAGGGAAAAGCTGTGATCCTGGTGGAAACAAAAACACTCCACCAATTCTGAAAGAGCTGAGTTGGCTCTCAACTTTCATTAAACATAGAGCAACAGAGACCAACGTGACATCAGCCGTGGTAAGTAGTTGTTTTTCTGTGAAGGTTTAAGAAATGTGTTTGATCCTCATAGAAAGACTTTATATTTTTTTTCTGTTAAATGTTGAATAACAAACAGCTTCAATAAAATAAGTATATGTTTATTTTATTTTAAAGGTTGAGGAGGATTCACAATCAGAGGCAGATCTCCTCCAGTCTGCTTCTCCACCCTCCCCTGTCCCAACGCAGTCTCCTTCATCCAGTTCATCTGAATTCAGCACAATATGCCCACGCACCCTCCAAGACACGTTTTCCAACAGTTCTCCAATGGAAAAGGTCTGCTCCTCTCCAGGATCTAGTGGTGGTTCGTGCAGTTGTACTAAGACTTAGTTAACTGGAAATTTATTTTAAAATATTTACAAAACTGCTTTTCTGTTTAGGTTTACCCAGTGTCTCAGAGAGTCCAGGCCCAGCACATAAGAGGAGGAAGAAGATGGATGACGTTTTGCTTAAAAGGCCTGACAGGATTGAGCATGACAGAGCTGTCCTAAATGACACAGAAGACATCAGATTTGGACATGTTGTTGCGGACTTGCTAGGAAAAATATCATCTGAAAAGAAAATGTCAGTCCAGTTCAAAATCTACCAGCTGCTGTATGAAGCTATAGAGTCAAAAAATTCACAGTAGATCTTTTTTATGGTTTATTTTTTATTTTTCCATGTGAATTAACTCAGACTGAGTTACATGTCATTTAAGTTTACAAGAACCCAACCTTGAACACAATAAATGGTGTGATCTAACGCATTGAGTTGAGCTCTATTCCTTGTTTCCTAGAGAGCTGAATTAACTGTCTGCAGAACTGAAAGATGCCCTTCCATCCGTTAACACACAATTCAGACCAGAACAGAGGCTTAATTCAGTGTACCTCTCCTTAGCACGCTTTCCTGCCAAGGTACAAGTCCTTGTGGTGACAGGAAGAATGACTTAAAGTCATTTCTGGCTGAAATTGCAGCCCGAGTTGCTTGTGCCTTGCTGAGCTGTCCAGCATCCAACAGGTTGCTGTCACCGGCAACTACTGTTCTCCATTCCCCATCCACCACATCACCTGCAGATGTGAAAGAGTCAGAGAACCTGGGTGGGATGTAGCGGGTGGCTGGGGTGTTGGCATCATCAGTGCTGCTCAGGTAATTGTGTAAAGCCACACAGGCCTTCACAACTTTAACAGTTTTTTCAGGGTGGAAGTCGATTGGTCGTCTCAGGATCCGCCATCGGGCTGCCAGGATGCCAAAGCTGTTCTCTATCACCCTCCTGGCATGTGAGTGGCGGTAGTTGTAAATCCGCTGTGTGTCATCAAGGTTTGTTCCTGCAAGTTAAGTTAAAAGATTAGGTTATATAATAATCCCAATTAATGAAATCTTCATCGTATGGCATCCTAATGATAACATACCTGGAAAAGGCCGCATCAGGTTTTGGTGGAGAGGGAAGGCCGCATCCCCTAGGAACACGTGTGGAACAGTGGTTGTGGAACCAGGCAGGTTGGCCGGGGGTGGTAGCTCCAGGGTTCCATGGAGCAGGCTGCTCCCGAACATGCACTCCTGAAAAACTCCACCATCACTCTCTCGCCCATATGCCCCTATGTCCACCATGCTAAATCTGTAGTTAGCATCACACACAGCCATGAGCACGAGGGAATGACTTCCTTTGTTGTCGAAAAAACCACTCCCTGCGTTTGGTGGTGCTTTTATGAACACGTGTTTTCCAACCACGCAACCCAAACAATTTGGGAAATTCCACACACGCCAGAATTCCTGGGAGATGTCCGCCCACTTGTTTTTGTCAGGTAATGAGACAAAATCACTGCACAACGCCGACCAAAGAGCCTCACAGACTTCAGTGACAATGAGGGAGACTGTTGTGGATCCTAGCCTGTAGCTCTGTGCCACGCTTTTCTGGCTGTTTCCTGATGCAAGCACACGAAGCGTGACAGCAAGTCTTTCTTCCAGTTTCACAGGGCTACTGTGGGTCGCTGCGTGGTTAATATGTGGTCGAATACGATGCAACAAGTCGTCAAATCTATTGGCAGACATGCGGAAGTACTTGAAATGTGACTGTTCGTCGATTCCACGCAGGGGTCTCACAAGGGAACTATATTCACCTTCGTCTCGTCTACTCTGGTTTAATGGACGAGTGGACCATCTCCTTCGTCGTCTGCTGCGTAGCAATAGTAAACAACATACAATTTCTTCCTCTTCAAGTAATAACATCGCACGTCTCATCCGTGCTGTCGCCATGTTGTAAACAACAGTAATTTCTACTTCTACTATGGTGTAGTGTTGGATGCATGCCGTGGAGTTTCATGCTGCCCCCTACAGTTTGGGAGAATATTGGCTCACCGCAGAGACGAGCCGCATACATCCGCGAGCCGCATCACCAAGCGGAAAGTGAATGCGTCAAGCATGAACCAAGCCTAGACCCCTAGTCTCCCTCCGCCTGCTCCAATACAGTGTTGATGCGTGTTGATGAGGTACCATGGCGGGGGTGAGCGGGCAGTAGAGCCATCTTCTGGCCTACACTCTCAGCTGATGCCACCATACAGCCCCTCTTCCCCCCACTGCCCTCTGTGTCTAAGTGCAGTTTAAAATTGGAAGTGGGCACCGTCACTCGGGATGAGGTGGAAAGATTCCCTTGCCAAATGCAGTTGAGTGTGCTCACACCCAAATGTGTGTTTGCGTGGAATGTCGGTGGTGGTAGTGTTTAATGTGCAAATAAAATTGGGGGGGGGGGGCAGGCCGCCACAGGAATGCGGAAATTTATTAGCTTATTTATTTTTATTTATTTATGGAGAACCTCATTAGCTCCCACCATAGTGTGGAGCTATTCTTCCTGAGGTCTCTTCCAATTTCATTACAAGTATTCCCCCCCCCCCCCCCCCCCCCCCCCACACACACACACACACACACATACCCAACAACAACAAACCCCAGGAGCTCCATTATAATCATACAGGCTCAATTGCAATAATGATATACCAGTAAGTTACCACACACTTCAGCGTTCATGAAAAATCTAAATAAGTGAAAACGGAGAGTTTACACAGAGCAATAAATAACTATATCCAAGAATCAAAAATCATATCACATCACTTCCATAATAAACAAAAACTATAGAAGCTGTCATATCAGTCACATTTACAATTCACTGTGCAAAATTTACTGTTGTGTAAACAAAAAAAGCTTTAACTTCTTTTGAAAACATCTTCTGTTATTCTCTAATAACAAAAATCTCAGTATAGCATGCCATGCAACCATGGCTCTGTAATAAACCGGTCTTTGCCTTTGATTGGTTCTGCAGCACGATAGTGCGCACCTTATATCACTTGTCTGTCTCATCATGTAATCATGATTGTCTGAAAAAAATGATAACTTGTCATAAATTATTCTAGGTATTTTTGTAGTTATTATATTTCTTATAAATGTGATCAGTGAATACTTTAATCTACATTTCACTGGTAAACAGGCCAAACTATCGTGCATCATACTTACATTTGTTCTATAATTACAACCCAGAACAATTCGTGCAGCTTTATTTTGTGCCACTTGTAACTTATTTAAATTCAATTCACTTGTATTAGACCAAATAACTGATGCATAATCTAAATGAGACAGTACTAATGTTTGAACTAAAGTTTTTATCAGCAAACGAGGAACAAATTTACAACAATATTTGATTGTGCCCATACTTCTTCCAAGTTTCAGCAAGACATGATTTATGTGACTAGTCCATGACAATCTAGAATCCACAATTACCCCCAACAATCTTGCTTCTTCTACCTGCTCTATCTCTATATTACCTAGCTTCAAATGCAGTCTAGGTGTCATCTGTAGTGTATATGTATCTCCAACTATCATGCATTTAGTTTTTTCTGCATTGATTTCTAGTTTGTTCATTCTAAACCAATGTGTAACTAAATCCAGCTCCTTTTTAAAAATATCATTTAATTGGCCTTCTGTTTTCTCTGATGCATGCATGGTTGCATGTTTTAAAATCAAAGGTCAGTCATTAATAAAAATAGAAAAAAAAGAGGGCCCAAACAACTGCCCTGTGGCACTCCACAATCTAACTGACCTGTTTCAGAATAACTGCCATTAAAATAGAAGTTTAATTTACGATTTGTTAAATAACTTTCTGTCCACTTAATGGCGGGCGACTGAAATCTATAACGTTCTAATTTATTTAATAAGATTTTATAATCAATCACATCAAAAGCTGCACTCAAATCTAAAATAATAGTACCAACTAACTTTTTATCATTTTTTTCTTCTAACCAATGATCAGTAATCTGAGCAAGTGCAGTAGTAGTGGAGTGACCCGCCTTATATGCATGTTGATAAATTGTGTTTAATCTATTTGTTATAAAATATTCTTGTATTTGTTCATATGCTACTCTTTCCAAAATGTTGCTTAATGCTGGCAACAAACTTATTGGCCGACTATTTTTACCAGACAGTGTGGTTCTCTGTTATTTTTGATTAATGGAATTACGTTTGCCTTTTTCCATTGGGCTGGAAAAAGACTTCTCTTAAAACTTATGTTAATTATATGTGAAACTGGCAGTAAAATAAAATCTACCACCAATTTTAGCAATCTAATATCAATATTGTCCATTCCAGGGGGTTTTTCTTTACTATTTAAGTTTAATTTTTTAAGGTAATCCTCTGACACCTCCATAAACTTAAACTCACAGTCTTTCATTTGCATTATATCATCCTTAATTCTTTGATAAGATGTATTTTCATCTATTCTTTCACCTCACCCCTGCCACGTGGACCTCAAGGGATAAACCATCAATCCTGCTCAATGGTCAACTTTCCTGGCTGGGTCACCCATGAAGACAGTGGGAGGGTTAAAGCCTTCATGTTTTCTATGCTTGAGCTAATAAATGGTAAGTCTGAAAACTTCATCTTATTGCAAAGTATCTGTTCTACATCTAACCAGGACACATCTAGTGGGTTATGTTGCAACCATCTTGGTATATATTGCAGCCTGTTGGCTAAGAAATAATGATAAAAGTTGGGTAGATCCAGCCCTCATGGAGTCAACTTTCACAGCTATGCTGATGATACACAGTTGTACATCTCCATGTATCCTGATGAGTCAAAATGTGCGCAAATGTGTCTGCATTACCATGGTGACATGCTTAGCAACAACATTTAGTAACTTTTTATACAATACTGTGTCAACATACCCTAATAGAAACATAATTTAAAATTTAAGAGTCATTTAACATTGGACATCACTAAATTAAAGCAGACGTATTAATCTGTTACCATGGCAACACAAGTCAGAAGGCGGGAAAGTGCCCTACCCCCTCCCAGCTCTCTGATTGGCTGAGAAAGCTCAATCATCTTCTGGCTAAATAGAATTACACACCCACACATATGATACATCAAATCAATCGGCTTGGTCTAAGGAGTCCATACGTACATCCACCCATACATCCTTCCAACCATTCATCTATCCCATACACAATATACACATGTAAGCACACTTAACAACAAAAAGAGCAGCATATACAAAATGGTTAAAAGCTGAATAAAATTAAATGTTTAAAGAAATGTTAAGTTAAACTAATAATGTGTGACAGAGTTAGCGTCAGTGTTCTGTACTGCTTTGTTTAGCTAATTTCAATTTCTTTTAAACCACCATTAAGATGATGGTGTTGCCTAGTACTAAAATTGGACACTTGCTTTAGAGAGAAGATACCAGAAATGACTTAACCGTAACAATATTCTAGTAATAACCAAAACATTAGTTTTCATATTAAACAGTAAATTTCTCCAAATCTTTAGGAAAATAATGGTTTGGCTTGGTAGATGTGAAATATTTTGATTGATTAGGAGACACAGAGTTTTCAGCAAAATTATTTTGTTTTTTGTGTGTGTTTTCACTTTGTTTCTGTCAATAAAATCCCCATTAGAGTCTGTCTTTCCATCTGAGTTTAAAGAGGTCGAATAAAATCATAGATTTTGGGAGAAGAATCATGTTTAGGGAAGGATCAACAGCCATCCGTGAACTCAAAGGCAAATTCTGCTTTATTAACTGATCTGTTTTTTTAATAAAAACAATTGTGCATTTTAAAATGGAACAATACTTTGCTCATCTATCCAGTTCATTAGCTTCATGTCCTTTCAATGCTTTACTTGCAGTCAATCTGGTGTTGCTTACGTGTATAAACATGTATAAACTCTGGTTTGTGGGGTGTTTCAGGTGCTGTGATAACATATTCACATAGCCTGTAATGGAACTGTGTCTACTGTGGTTTAAATTAGGTGCCACAGAAATATCCTCTGACCTTTCTCTTAATCTTGTTATATTGCTAATCCCCCTCAGTCACCCCTCCACCCATCCTGTTCATTCACATGCTGTACTACCCTGAGTGGTGAAATGCAAATCTGCACTGTAGGGCTCACTAAGCAGCTTTCAGTGCCTCATTTCTAAAAAAAAACACTGTGTTGCCACATGAGACTGGTACATTTGTTTAAAATAAATAGTTTTTTGTCCTGTTTATCAAAGATGGGGTGTCAATTTGGTTGAAGCTTTTCATTTATGCATAAATATAGTAATCAATTAAAAGTTAGCTTAGTTATATAAAAGTGAGGATACAACATTATTTGTAGGAATTCTAGTTTTAAATTTAAATTCCAAGTTTTAAAAACTACAAAGAGAAGTATTGTCTGGTTTTTTTTTTCAATTATATCGATATGCACAACTAGTCCACAATGTGCATGCAAAATTAGGGCACTACATCTACACAAACCTTGACATTAACTGCTTTACTACCATACGAACAGGGCATTTATTTACAAGAATTTCATGTGATGGATGATAGTGAAGAGTGGGTATAACTGGAAAGATTAAAGCCCCTGGGAAGTAATTCCAACCACCGTAGCTCAGATCTGCCTTGGAGTCATTTGAACACCTAATCTGCAAATGACACACAGTGGAAATGACAAAGCCCATTAACACAATGACCCCTGCAATATGGCTACAAACATGCTGGATCTGAAAGATAAAGTCCAGATGTATTATTTTGATCACTGACTGTAAAGATGTCTCCATAAAAGCAACATGTATGAATCTGGAAACAGGATTTCTGAAGTCACTTGATTCTACTCCAGCTGGGATAAACCTTCTCAGTTTTCCACCATTGTATAATTTTATTTAGATCAATCTAAAAACTAATGACAATAACATTTGCCTTTACATTGCAGCTGTAATTACATTTATTTAAATTAGTTTTCCTTATTTAGAGATACACATACAATAAAAGCCAATTTGGTACTGAATGCGCATTTATGTTTTTAACCACCACTATGAGTTGAAAATTAATGATGGGACAGTAGAAAAAAATGAAATATAACATTATATACATCCTTCGAAATTCATATTATTCAATAATCTTAATTATTCTCTTTTCTAGCACAATAAATTGGGTGAACACTGTAAAAATATACCCAAGAATATGACACTTACATGAAACAATGTTGCTTTTTATATTAATAATGTCAAATAATGTTTAATTGATATTTATTTAATTTCTGTTTTATCTTTGAATTACTAAAGTGGAAGTCTCATGTTTAGCGAACAAGCATTTTTATACATTTTTCTTGCAGGCAAGTGTAGGAGAAACTGGTTGGCTCAGCCATATTGTAGCGTTGTGGTTTTATGCTCTTTTATGGACGTATTAATTCGGAATATTAATACGTTCCTCACGTTACACAAGTTATACTTAAAACATTTTTGCTTTTAATAATGTCAAACACTCAAATCTTGCACTTTGTGCGAAGGCAATCATTTGTCCTTGTAAATAATTTCAAGAGCAATTCTAAATCGAACCATGACATCCATGACACCAATTTGGAACAACAAATATTGTTTTATATTTCACACTTTGTTTTTTGAGAATTACTCAATTACTAATTACTTGAATTGATGTACTTTTGTTTCTCAGGGTTTCATTACCTTGCTTGACTGAAACAAATCTTTTATTGGCGGCTTGAAACACTACTTGTGGATGATTCTCCTCCAGATCAAAGAGCTCATCTTTTCCTGGCTTGGTGCACCGTCCGGAACGCAGTGTTCCAGTGGGGCCCACTGGGGTCAAATATTTCCCATCGCAATCCTTAAAGGCCAGTTTACCCGACTTCAGCTCCAATGTGAAGGTGGTTGTGTTGTTGTTTACCTTCACCAGTTTGCCATCATTGCTTAGAAATCGGCTGTCACAGGTTTTCAGGCTGTACTTGCCGTCTTGGTAAACCAAAGTGACCAAAGAGTCCCCCCCCCAGGGGATGTTGCTATCCACTGAGATCTCTCCATCTGAGGCAGACAGGTGTGCATAGCGCTTACGTGCCACACTGAGCAGGCTGGCTTGTGGGTGTAAAGCTAAATGAACAGCCCATAGCTCCTGTTCCCCGATGGTCTGGGCAAAGCAGGACAGATAGTCTGCTGAGCCTCCAAAGTATCGCAGGTAAGGTTCCGATTGCAGTGCCCAGCGACCATCAAACTGGGGCACAATAAGAAATCGACATTCAGAGTCAGGCTTCTCTGCCCCGCAAATGATCTTTCCATCATTGTCAGAAGCCAGATAGCGTCCCAGGTGACTGCGCAGGAAGACCACTTGACCATCTTGCTCTTCTTGTTCCAAGGTCCAAATTTGTTTCTTCTTCAGACTGATGCCTGAAGCGTTGACTTTGAAACCGAAGGCCTCTGCTGTCAGGTAGCGGTTCTCATGGTTAATCAGGCCAAACTGCAGCTTCAGAGCCCTGTTAATGCCGTTAGTTGGCATGCTTGAGCAGGCTGCACGCTAAAAGACAGCAAGCAAAGAAGTTTAGACAAGTAAGTAAAATGGTGATGAGGGAAATTAGGCACAAGACAGAGAGTCAAAAACAAAAACAATTGATTTCCTTCTTCCCCTGTCGAGCTGTGAAGTTACCCTTATTTCCCTTGAATTTTTTTTGTTGCTTCCCTCTCAAGCCACTTTCCCTCTTTTCCCCCGCAGGACTTGTATATGCACTTGCTCTCAGTTCCTTAATGAATTAGGATTAAACAGGACACAGCAAGACAATCCAACAAGCTGCTGATGTCACATACCAGTGGACTAACCAGGAACCTCCCCTCCTTATTCTCCTTCACCAGTTTACCTTCACTAACCTCTGCCTCATTCTCTCTCTCATTCACACCTTTTTCTTTTCTTTTTTTTCTTTTTTTCTGTCAATTTCAGTCTGCTATCCTGTCTTTTAACAAAAACAAACAAACAAACAAACAAAAACACTTATTTGTCAACCAGTAATTGTTTCTCATGTGGCAACACTATCCAGTCCAACTTGATTTGATCTGCCAGAGCACCAGTCTAATTGAATAATGTCTAGAGTGAAGGTGCTTGTACCCTGATACTTTCATTTCAAGGACATTTCAGGCAGGATTTTTAATGTTTAATATGCGGATGTTTCTGGGTACATGAACATGTTCCAATTTCTAGGAATATGCAGCAGAGAATAAAAATGTATTCACAAAGTACCTCTTTCACTGCAATAATGCATACAGCTGAGTGATTTAAAATTATCCTAAATCCTAAAACAGTTAAAAGGGTCTCTCCATGAAAACGTTTCCACCAATGTGTCGCCTACAGGTTCAATGTGGCTCTTGTAGGAGAAGCATTACATTTGTTTTAAGTCTGAGAAATTTAAGTATGTGAAGTCTTTCAGCTTAGCCAAGGGATTTGAATAACACTGATTTGAATGTGCAGTCATTTGCCTTTTCTTCACTTTAGCCTTGATTGCTTCTCAGACTTGTTCTTTCTAATAGTTCCTAGATAAGATTTATGTTTTGGCACTAGAAACTTGAAGTCACAGAGAACATTTCAGAAAAATCCCATCTTTCACAGGCACAACACAACAGCTACACCTATTCAAAATGTTAGGTATGAGTACACTAAATGGATTCTTTGAGTCACACATCAAAAAAAATCTTACGGCTACAGTTTTGCCTCAGTTGATCCAAAATATCTGTTGCAAAACACATCCACTTACTTGTGTATGACACAAAAACTTGTGCTTATTATACTGTCACTTACAAACACAACACTACTGTTACGCTTCACAAATTCTTCATTGCAGGTACACAAATTTGTTACTGCAAGTTACTGAATATGGAATTCCTGCTCTAATAAATTTGCTCCACTTAGTCCAACAACTCTGGAGAATAAGTAATTCAAACACTTGTATTAACATCTTCCCAAAAGCATATGGTTTTGTCTTTTTTTTTCCTTACCACAAACACAAATGAGTGAACGCAACTGCACAAAACTGCTGATGTGAGTCACAAATGCTGCTTTTCAAGCTACACATTCTTTTTTTTACACTGCCCTATTTTGCACCACTTGTCTCAGTCAGATACCGGAGCTTGTGTGTGATTTGTATGGTCGTCCAGCAGAGGGCGTTGCTGACCTAAGTATAACAAACCAGAAACTCACTTTTTTTTCTTTTTTTTCACAAAAGGTTCCCAGTCACGTGACCCGATGCTGTACTTGAAAAATTCAACAAATACTCAGATTAATACCTACACGGAGTAGATAGCTGCTTCTCTAATTCTTGCCACTTTTTACATTAATAGTTTTATCATGAGTGTTTTATTAGTTCTTATATTTGCTTATCTCTTAATTAATTTTTTTTCTATCTTACCTTCTGCACCAAAATACCGCAGCAATTTCCTAATGTTGTGACTTGGCACACATGTGGCAATAAAAACTTCTGATTCTGATTCTGACCAACTTTAGAGGCACTCCATCATCTGATTCCTCTCATGAAGATATCTCACTAGGAGACGAGCTTAACCGTTTCTTTGCCCGTTTTTGATACTCCTACAGCAGGGGTGCCGTCCACACCTGGCAATGCCACAGCACATCTGTCACCCTGTCCTTCCAGCAACATCAGGTGAGGCGTGCACTCTTGCCGGTTAACCCAAAGAAGAAAGCCGGTCCGGATGAGGTGTCGAGTAAGGTGGGGTGTGCCAATGAACTGGCGGGTGTCCTAACTGGGTTATTTAACTCCTCACTGGCCCAGGCAGTGGTTCCATCCTGCTTCAAGGGAGCTACAATTGTTCCAGTTCCAAAAAAATCTTTTGCAAAGGACCTCAATAATTTTAGACCTTTGGCACTGACATTTGCTGTTATGAAGTGCTTCGAGAGGCTTGTTCTTCAACATCTCAAGTCATGTCTTCCAGTGAACTTTGATCTGTACCAGTTTGCCTACAGAAAGAACCGTTGCACCGATGACGCTATCACCACAGTCCTTCATGCAGTTCACATCCATCTAGAACGTCCAGACACCCACGCTAGATTGCTTTTCATGGATTTCAGCTCAGCATTCAACACGATTCTCCCAGAAATCCTAAAGAAGAAAATGTTAGAGCTGAATGTCGACCCCCTCTTGTGCGATTGGATTAAGGACTTTCTCACAAATCGCCGGCAGGCAGTCAAAATTGGTCAGTGTTGTTCACCCACCCTAACACTCAGTACTGGCTCTCCACAGGGCTGTGTGCTGAGTCCCCTTTTGTACACCTTGTACACCTCAGACTGCCAGCCCTTACACCCCCATAATTCCATCATCAAATTTGCCGACGATACCACGGTGGTGGGATTGATTAAGGGAGGGGAGGAGACAGCTTACAGAGAAGAAATACAGGCACTTAAGATGGTGCACTCTGAATAACCTGCTGTTAAATACAATAAAGACTAAAGAAATGAGAGTGGATTTCAGGAAAGGACTGAGGGATCATGCTTCTCTGACAATTGAGGGGGCAGAGGTGGAGCGGGTAGCCACATTCAAGTTCCTTGGGACACACCTTCAAGAGGACCTGAAGTGGACAACAAATACCTCAGCAACAGTCAAAAAAGCTCGGCAGAGGCTCTGTTTCCTACGAGTGTTGAAGAGAAACCATCTTGAGGAGTGGCTGTTGATGTCTTTTTATAGGGCTGCCATTGAATCTGTGCTGGGGGGTACTCCTTTACCGTGTGGTTTGTGGCCTGTTCAGCAGCAGACAAGGCCTTGCAGAGGATTATTTAGATCGTCAGAAAAAATAATCGGATGCCCACTGCTCACCCTGGAGAGCATCGCCAGCTCCAGAGGTCTGAGTAGAGCTCAACGGATCATAGCAGGCTCTTCTCATCCAGGACATCACCTTTTACAACTGCTTCCGTCAGGGAGACGTTTCAGGTCCCTGAGGTGCAGAACCAATAGACTGAAGGACAGCTTTTACCTGTGGGCAGTGAGAATTTTAAATGGTTCGATGTGATCACAGGGTGGGCCTCCTTCATTTTTTTCTTTTTAAGCGAAGGAGTTTGTTGTCCCCGGCTTCTTCGAGCGTCGATCCCAGCCACCACAGCCAGCTCTGCAGTTTCAGAGGAGCTGGGCACAGGATCGGATGCTGTCTCTAGGGTAACAGGGATCACAGCCTGGGCCACAGAGGTCTTTGGGGCCAGAAGGACATGGTCAGGTTCCTCTGTGAGCGTGCAGTAATCCTTTTGTGGCAGCAAAGCAGAGTTTGAGAGAGCGGACCACACCTGAGCTGGAAGTTGACGAAGCAAAACATGGCCAAAGAGGAATCCTCCATCGTCTGAACCAAGCAGGGAGAACATGCTCTTCACAAGCTCAAGGGTGGTGCCATCTCAGATGCTGGCGGGGGACAGCAGCTTCTCCGCTCATTCTGCGTCGGACAGGATGTAGTGGCAAACCAGCAGTTGTTTGAGAGCATTAAACCTCTCCCAGGCTGGTGGGTTTTGGAGCAGGCACATCACCTGATGGGTGGAAAGTGGATCCAGTCCAGTGACCACATGGTGGTATTTCGTAACGTCAGAAGACATTCCATGCAGGGCGAACTGCATTTCAATGTGAAAAAACCATCCTGAGGGATTGTGCAGCCAAAAATCGGGAAGCTTAACAGCCATGGCAGACGAGAGCAGTGGGGTCCACTGTGGTCCAGCAGCAGTTAGCAGTGCTAGAGACACAAACAGTAAGCTCCCTCCCTGGAGCAGGACGCAGCAAGGTGTCAACAACATTTACGTGCAAACAGTCAAAAGGCCTGAGTGTGAGTGTAACATACTTTTTACTGCATTGTGGGGGAACTCTTTGTGGACCCGCACAATGACAATGTCTTCTGTTTCATGATCAGCAGCAGCTAGTTGTTTATAACTACAAAGTTGTTTTTTTCCAACATCATGCCCACTTTCAAGTGAAGCACACTCCTCTTTTGACATTGTATTTCTTGTGTTTGCTCACCATCTATATTTCTGATTGTCTCTTTTCCTCCATGAATCTACCTCTCTGTTAGAGTAATTAACCACTGGTTGGTCAGCTGCTGCTGACAAGATGCTGTGTCAGAAAACTCTTCCCTTTTTTTTTCTCTTCTCTGCCTGAGCAGATGGTGACTCATGGCAGTGATACGCCATTTCCACATGTGACAGATGCAAACAGGACCTACACACAGAGACCCCCTTTTTCTTTTGGATTTCACAGCTATCACTATAATAATACCTTAATAACAAAATTTCATAAAATATAATCAAATAAAGGATGGATATAGCAGTTAGTTGAACTTAGCTTTTGCACATTTATTTGAATGAATCATTAATGGAGTGGTGACGGCAAATATTCTCCTGGTCCTGTTCATCAACCGCTACTTGGAAGTATCCAGCTGTGAGATCAAGGATAGAAAAGAGCTGGGCCTGTGTTACGTGCAGTGCCTCTTTTCGGCCACAAGATGGCCTCAGTGGCTTCTGCCTCGTCCGTCTCCCAGTGCCCAGCTGTGTTTAATTATTGACAATTACTTGACAGCTGTTAAAAGCTGCTCTCGTGCTCTCAGTCAGGGAGAAGGTACAGGGAAGTTTGGGCACGAAGGTGTTCAGGCTTCTCACCTCCTTGTGTGCTTGTGTGTGGGTTAGCTTAGAAATATTTCGGTGATTTAGTGATTTAGACTCGTGATAATTAGGATTTCTGGCAACTTTGACTTCGGACTGGCCTTTGACTCCCCTTTTGGATTCCCCCCTGAGCGTCTCTGCTTAACAGGACGTCTCTTGTTAATTTAGTGTTTTGTTTGCATATTGAATATTTTTAGTTGTATACTTTTCCTCCTCCCAGCCCTTTTGGCCTGGCGCTTTATGTTAGTCCTTTCCCCCTTTTATAGGC